AGAGCAGGGATTCATCCAGGACTTTTTAGACTCCTGAGCTTGTACTCTTAACCCCTGAAGGCTGTCTGACCTGGCACAATGTCTTGCACACAAAAGGGGTTCAATAAATATTAATTATCTGGGTGTTTTTAATTTTAGTTTGTCTCTGTGCCGAATTATTCTCTGTGCAGTTATAATAATTAGTGGCAGGCAGGTGCAAGGCCACCTGTGCAGATAGTATCCTTCAGCCATACATTTCAGTCCTGCCTTTTGAAGGGAACATCCTTCCTGATCTTAAGTGATAAGAATATTATAAGTTCCCAGTATACATGTTGTGGTTTATTTTTGGGAGAGGAACATCCCGGGCCCACTATGATGTAACGGTAAGCTCAGCTATTGACCCACAGTAAATTTCCCTCTCTTTTAACAAACCAGTGGTTCTCAAACGTGGCTGCTCATTTACATCACCTGGGGAGCTTACATTATCAATGCCTGCGACCTACTCCAGAGTATAATTTAACTGGTATGGGGTGCAGCCTGGCAATCCAGATTTTTACAAGCATCCCAGGTGATTCTACTGTTCAACCCAGGAGAAGAGCTCTTCTAAGAGTTTCTGGTTTGCTTCCTGATTGAGTCCCAGTGAGTGGAAATGAAAACTGGCAAGTATCATTAATTAATTTGATAGAGAGCTTACATGTGCATCCAGGCTCCTTGCAGGCACCAATTAGTTTGGTCACAGATACACAGAAAAGTTTTAATTGTCAACTCATGTAGCTGTCCTGAGAACCAAAGCTCAGACTTAAATCTATTAGCTAGACAGTTAGGGGGTTGGCTAATGACTTCAAATCTTCTGAAACATCTGATCAGTCATTCTCTTTTATGCAGTGTGATGAAAAATGCCCAAAAGCCTACTTCCACATGGGAAAAGCCAACCTGGCCCTCAAGAACTACAGTACGGTAAGTTCTTAGAGGACCCTAAGTGGCATATTTGATCACAGAGCAATGCTTCAGATGGTCCCAGAGCAGAGCCATGTTCCTCCATGTAGATTAGATAGTAATCCACCCTTTAGTATTTTCCAAGGTAAATCTGAAGATCTTAGAGTTGGGAAGAATGTTGAGTGTCATCTAGTACAACCCCACCTGCTCTAGGAATCCCTTCTGCAACATCCCCTAACAGTATTTGTTCAGCCCTGGGAGGAGCATCTCTAGAGAGTGAAGGTGTAAGCAAAA